CTGAAAGGGGAAATAATTTTACAAAGACATATAGTACACGCTGCTTTCCTAATGCTTCTCCTGCCTTTACAGAAAAACCCTTATCTTCACACAGACGATGATGGTTAACAAAAGGCTCCTTTATGAAATCGTTCATATTTCAGTGGAGGTCTTTCTCCTGTCCTGAGAGGTGATTGATGCATCAGGCCAGGGCCAGTGTCTTATTTACACAGTTGAGTGGGGCAATCTCAGGCCTGAAAGATAAACCTAATGAGCTTCTTTGTGTAAGGGTGCAAATGAGAGACACCATCCTCCCCTCCCTCCTTCCCTATTCCATCCAAAGGGACAGTCTGGGTGATTAGGCCTTTAAATTATGCTCAAGGGCAAAGCCCAGATTTGCATCTTAGGTATGTGCGTGTTTGTCTGTGTGTGTGTGTGTATGTGTGTGTCTCTCTTGCTTCTCAAATACAGTACAAGGAGACAGACAGAGAGGCAGGTGAAGGGCATAGAGAGAAAGATGCTCGAGGCTTGTTTATGGGGAGGGATGGTAGGGGAAGACTGTGTGTCAGTACCCAGTTTATACTAAACAACAAACTTGAGTTGTTATAAGAGGAAGATGAGCTCATATGTCTGTCAAATAAGAGCGAGCACACCTACACACACACACACACACACACACACACACATTGTCATTTTGTCCTTTGTCTGTGGGGTAACTTTCTCCCTAATGACTTTCATTTTGGGGAGAATTTAATTTGCCCCTAAACCCTAAATACTACCCATCACTTGCTGTCAGATTTCTCATCCCTTCCATTTCCTCCAGCTAAACAGCTAGGAAGGCAGGTTAATTGCTGTCACTCTCAAGTTGGACCACTGCCTAGCTCTTGTGTAGCGACAGGGGTAGCCTAGAAGTAAGATGGCACCTTGGCGCACTTATTGTAATTTATGTCAAAATGCTGCACTCATTTAAATGGGGTTGGATAGTTTGCATTTTGCTGCATCATGTGCCTCAGGAAAACGGTAAAACGCATACCTAACCAGTTTACCAACATGTAGAACTCTGCCTCTGTCAGCCATAAGTGGCACCTTTTGAACAAAATAAATATTTGGCCAGCAAGCAAGCAAGCAGAAAGCACATTGCATGCAAAAAAGAAAATATAATTAATTAAAAAAAAAATCACAGGAGCAGGTTTTTGAAAATACAAAAATATGAAGCCAGCATTTTCTAATTATACTGGATTTTAATGAGTGAAGTCTTTAGACTCGTAGCAGATTGCAGTGGTTGTTCATACAGCTGTCTTTGGTTACAGTGGCTGACCCAACCATAATACATTAGCCTTCCATGCTTCCATGTTGCTCTGAATATCAATATATTTTCTACTGTAGGAACTCAGCCCATTTAAAGGAGGGCAGCAGTTCTGAGCATTGGCTCATCAATCCCACTGATAACCCTGGCAGGATTAAGTCTACAGAACACTGTAATCAACTAACAGGCTCATTATAGGGCATTATGTTACAGACCCAAAGATCGATGCATGACTTCCATGTACATACTTGGCAGCGTATACTATTAAAACATAAAGCTAACTCCGGTCAATGACAAATAGATTGCTACTATGAGCTCAGCACATTTTTTTTTTTTTTTGCTCTACAAGAGAGCTTTTATAGTGATCATTTTGCATAGCAATTAGAGCTGTGTAACATTCATCATTTGCTCTGATACATATCTGCAGCTGGCAAATTGCAATCAGATACAGTGGGTATCTAATCTGTGATCTCAAATCAAATTAGGTCTATTTAGACAACCTTGGGAACGGGGTGATGAAACCCTGACAGAAATTAGGGACTGGAAATTTAATTGTGACAATGGTTATTATTCAGATAGCTGGATAACGAAATGTGTGGCTTTTACACTGAACACAATGACCTGCATAAAAACGAAAGACATTCAAATTTGTAAAAGATATTCACTTTATCTTAAATGAAATAATAGTGGATTATTATTAAAGGAAAATCTCAACTTTTGACATCTGGATGTGGAAAAACTGTGTGCGTTACTTCATCTTGATCTTACAGACTTTGGCCGAATCTAAGGTGTCGAGACCTGAAGATGCTGCTTTTCTAATTATAGCTGCAGGTGGTATTTTGGAGCTGCTAGGTAATGGCAGAACCCATAGGGACAGTGGAGAATTCATCAGTGCTTATTATTAATCATCCCCCCAGCAGCGTGATGAGAGGCTGCAGCTTCTATACCCAATGGACCACTCAATGTCATTCCAAATGTGGGTGGAAAATTACATTCAACTGCATTCCTTCAAAATGGACTCGGAGCAAACGTGGATAGAATTTTTTTCAAGCTGCATTGAAGTGTAAAAAAAGTGCATGTATATATGGTTGCATGCATATATGGCCACACAGGGTCCATGCTGCATATACACCTGTCAATATCACATCCGTCAGACACACAAAAGCAGCAGTGCTCAGTGCTAACAGATGAATATATAAAATAATTTTTTTTTAAAAATCTAACCTCATCCTTTTGTTGAACTGTGCTTGCAGTGTGAGCACACCACAGGAAGTGTGTGAAGTTAACAGCACAGGGCCCCTGTTTTAAAAAGCCTCCAGAGACCTGTTAGCCGGACTGCTCATTTCAATGTGTCTCTCTCTGGGTTGGGAGAAGGCTCGGGCTGGCCTCTTTACGAGGCGCATACTGTCATACACCCCCCCCAACCCCAACCGCACACCATCACAGCTCTCAGCCGTATGTCCATCTCACAGACTTAACTAGACACCTTATGCTTACATTGCTTTTTTTCCCACCTCTCAGTGCTGTGGCCTTTTTAAAAATTTTAACAGCACCTTTTTTTCATTTTCACTGACAGACACACTTTTATCCATTCTTTTCAATTACATTTTGAGTACACAGTCTAATATCTCTAAATCTACTGCTCAGATTGCAATTTTAATAAAATGAAACATATAACATGAAATGTAAAGCAATTCAAAGTTTTCTCAGGGATCACCTTTATCTTAGGATTTCTCTCCTGATGGGAATGGTCTCTTCCGTAATGACTGTGCTCTGTTTCAAAGGACACTAGGACTCACTGTGTGGTTTGAGTATGAATCTGATGTGAATCGCATGCTACGGCCTTCAAACCCGCTCGATCTCAACCCGATTAAACACCTCTGAGAGACGACGTGTCAGACAGTGCTCTTCACCGCCATCATCAAAACACAGAAAAGGGAATATCTTTTTAAAAGAATGGTGTTCCGTCACTCCAGTAGAGTTTCAGAAACTTGAAGAATCTGCGTCAAGGTGCCTTAGGGGCGTTCTGGTCACACATGGGCGCTCAACACCTTACTAGGGCGCTGTGTTGGTTTTTCCATTCATTTGTCAAGAAAAAGAAGAGAGAATTACCGAAATCTACCCAACGTCTTCAAATGCACGAGTGATGCCTGAGAGAAGGAGAGGTCTGACCCCAATCATACGTGTGTGTGTAGGAAGAGTGGCAGAGTGGTGATAAAGCAGGAGGATGAGGCCACAGTGCTATAATGCAGCTGAAGCCACCAGCAGGGGTGAATAGGGTTGTGGAAAATGGGTGTTTGGATGGTATGGGGCTTTTGGGGAACAGAAGAGGTGATGGTGGACTGGGGGGGGGGAGTGCTCCAGGACAAGCTTCATTTTGCTACACTGAATAGCCCGTATACACACATGCAGAAACTAGAAACTCATCGACACGTATTGTTCCGCCCTCGCCAAATTGACCACAGGGCTTCAGCTGCCACCGAAAAAAAGAAGAAAAGAAAAATTCACATAAATACAAATACACACTTGCATGAAAATTTCACCGTTAGCCCAAAGGACAGCACGCATCGTTACAAAACCCGCGGTGTTGTCCTCCATGTACCCCAAAGCATGGCCCTCTGACCTAATCTCCCACTGCTCTTTTGGCAAACTGTCAAAGCCATCATTCACCGTGAAAAGACACGAGAGACACTTGACTCCTTTACTCTGCTGGCGACTGACTTTCACAACTCCTGCCCCCCAACCGCTCCACCACCCTCCCCCCGCACCCTGCAGTTAATTCACCCTCAACTTGCTGTGACTGAGATGAATAGCAGCG